ACGGGCCTTGGAATGCCTACGGGCCTTGGGATGCCTATGGGCCTTGGAATGCCTACGGGCCTTGGAATGCCTACGGGCCTTGGGATGCCTACGGGCCTTGGAATGCCTACGAGCCTTGGGATGCCTATGGGCCTTGGGATGCCTGTACGGGCCTTGGGCTTGGAATGCCTACGGGCCTGGGATGCCTATGGGCCTTGGGATGCCTACGGGCCTTGGGATGCCTACACGCCTTGGACCTACGGGCTTTGGAATGCCTGTGGGCCTTGGGATGCCTACGGGCCTTGGGATGCCTACGGGCCTTGGAATGCCTACGGGCCTTGGGATGCCTACCCTTGGGATGCCTACGGGCCTTGGGATGCCTATACGGGCCTTGGAATGCCGGGATGCCCATGGGCCTTGGATGCCTACGGGCCTTGGAATGCCTACGGGCCTTGGGATGGCTACGGGCCTTGGAATGCCTATCGGCCTTGGAATGCCCATGGGCCTTGGGATGGCTACAGGCCTTGGAATGCCTACGGGCCTTGGAATGCCTATGGGCCTTGGGATGCCTACGGGCCTTGGGATGCCTACAGGCCTTGGAATGATCATGGGCCTTGGAATGCCTATGGGCCTTGGGATGCCTACGGGCCTTGGAATGCCTACGGGCCTTGGGATGCCTACGGGCCTTGGGATGCCTACAGGCCTTGGCATGCCTACAACCCTTGGAATGCTTATACGGGCCTTGGCGTGCCTACAACCCTTGGAATGCCTATACGGGCCTTGGGATGTCTATTCGGATGCCAATGGGCCTTGGGATGTTGGGATGTCTATTCGGATGCCAATGGGCCTTGGGATGCCTACGGGCCTTGGGATGGGTCTTGGGATGCCCTTGGGCCTTGGGATACGGGCCTTGGGATGCCCATGGGCCTTGGGATGCCCTTGGGCCTTGGGATGCCCATGGGCCTTGGGATGCCTACGGGCCTTGGGATGTGTATGGGCCTTGGAATGCCCATAGGCCTTGGGATGCCTATGGGCCTTGGAATACCTACGGGCCTTGGGATGCCCATTGGCCTTGGGATGCCTTTGGGCCTTGAGATGCCTATGGGCCTTGGAATGCCTATACGGGCCTTGGGATGCCTACGGGCATTGGAATGCCTACAGGCCTTGGAATGCCCATAGGATTTGGGATGCCTTTGGGCCTTGGGATGCGTGCGGGCCTTGGGATGCCTACGGGCCTTGGGATGCCCATGGGCCTTGGGATGCCCATGAGGCGCAATGCCTATGAACATTGGGATGCCCATGGGCTTTGGGATGCCCATGGGCCTTGGGATGCCCATGGGCCCTGGGATGCCTACAGGCCTTGGGATGCTTACGGGCCTCGGGATGCCCATGGGCCTTGGGATATGCCTTGGGATGCCTATGGGGCTTGGGATGCCTATGGGCTTCGGGATGCCTATGGGGCTTGGGATGCCTATGGGCCGGGCCTTGGGATGCCTATGTCTTGGGATGCCCATGGGCCTTGGGATGCCTGTTGGGCCTTGGGATGGTTATGGGCATTGGGATGCCTATGGGGCCTGGGATGCCTATGGCCATTGGGATGCTTATGGGCCTTGGGATGCCCATTGGGGGATGCCTATGAGCATTGCGATGCCTATGGGCATTGGGATGCCTATGGGGCTTGGATGCCTATGGGCATGGGCCTTGGAATGCCCATGGGCCTTGGGATGATTATGGGCCTTGGGATGCCCATGGTTGTTGGGATGCCCATGGGGCCCATGGGCATTGGGATGCCTATTGGGGCTTGGGATGCCTATGGGCCTTGCGATGCCTATGGGCCTTGGGATGCTTATGAACCTTGGATGCCTATGGGCCTTGGATGCCTACGGGCCTTGGGATGCCTACGGGCCTTGGAATGCCCATGGGGCTTGGGATGCCTACGGGCTTGGGATGCCTACGGGCCTTGAGATGCAGATGGGTGCCTACGGGCCTTGGTATGCCTATGGGCCTTGGGATGCCCATGGGGCCTATGGGCATTGGGATGCCTATGGGGCAGGCCTTGCTTAGGATGTCTACGCGTCTTGGGATGCCTATTGGGGTCTTGGGATGCCTACGGGCCTTCTTGGGATGCCTACGGGCCTTAGGATGCCTACGAGGCCTTGGGATGCCTATAGCCTTTGGCCCACAAACCTTGGGATGCCTACGGCCTAGTGGTCTTGGGATGCCTATGGGCCTTGAACTGCCTACGGGCCTTGGGATGCCTATGGGCTTTGGGATGCCTATGAGCCTTGGGATGCCGGGGGGGCCTTGGGATGTGTGCGATGCCTAGGGGCCTGGGATGCCTATCACCTTGGGATGCCTATAAGCCTTGAGCCTTGGGATGCCTATGGGCCTTGGGATGCCTACGGGCCTTGGGATGCCCACGGGTCTACGGGCCTTGGGATGCTTTGGGATGCATATGGGCCTTGGGATGCCTACGGCCCTTGGGATGCCTACGGGCCTTGGGATGCCTACGGGCCTTGGGATGCTTATGCGCCGTGGGATGCCTATTGGGCCTTGGGTTGGTTATGGGCATTGGGATGGCTATGGGGCTTGGGATGCCTATGGCCATTGGGATGTTTACGGGCCTTGGAATGCCCATTGGGCCTTGGGATGCCTATGTTCATTGGGTTGCCTATGGTATGGGCCTTGGGATGCCTACGGCCTACGGGCCTTGGGATGTCCACGGGCATGGGCCTTGGCCTTGGGATGCCTATACGGGCCTTGGGATGCCTACGGCCCTTGGGATGCATGGGCCTTGGGATGCCGGGATGCCACTGGGATGCCTATGGGCCTTGGGATGCCGGGCCTCTGGATGCCTATGAGTTTTGGGATGCCTACGGGCCTTGGGATGCCTACGGGTCTTGGGATGCAGACGGGCTTGGGATGCCTATGGGCTTTGGGATGCCTATGAGCCTTGGGATGCCTATGGGCCTTGGGATGCGCCTTGCGATGCCTACGGGCCTGGGATGCCTATGGGCCTTGGGATGCCTATAAGCCTTGAGCCTTGGGATGCCGATGCCTATGGGCCTTGGGATGCCCACGGGTCTACGGGCCTTGGGATGCCTACGGGCTTTGGGATGCATATGGGCCTTGGGATGCCTACGGCCCTTGGGATGCCTATGGGCCTTGGGATGCCTACAGGCCTTGAGATGTCTACGGGCCTTGGGATGCTTATGCGCCGTGGGATGCGGATGCCTACGGGCTTTGGGACTTCTATGGGCCTTGGGATGGCTTGCGGGCCTTGGGATGCCTATGGGCCTTGGGGTGTTTATGGGCCTTGGGATGCCTTACGGGCCTTGGGATGCCTGTGGGCCTTGGGATGCCTATCGGGATGCCTGTGATCCTTGGGATGCCTATGGGCCTTTGGACTTGGGATGGGCCTTTGGGATGCGTGTGGGAGGCCTATGGGATGCCTATGGCCTTGGGATGCCTACGGGTCTCTTTTTTTGCGGCGCTGGTTGGGTAGACCGGTGTGTTTGAACCCCAGGGGGTTGGAACGCTTGGGAGGTCTTTCTAGTTGAGCTACACACCTGTGTGGAGCACTGGTATGGAGCAATAGGAATATTGTTCTTAAGTGATTTTGATGTATGATGTATTTCTGCGGCTGAAAGATCCAGCGAATCTCTGCTTACTTTGCGGTCCAAACTTTGTGGTTGGTGGAAAATACACTTACTTGGCGGTCCAAATCGGAGAAAACAACCTTAGAACAACGACGCACACACACAAAATCAACATGTGCTATATTTTTGTAAAACAACTCAATCACTCAGTCTGTTCCTTTTTATTGCGGATTTCGGTGCCGAAGCAACCATGGGCACCCCGTGGACACCGGACCAGACCTGACCCGCGTCTCCAGGTCTCTCGGCCTCGAAGGCGGCCGTCGCCGGTGGAGGTGTCGAGTTCGTGTCGAGTTCGTGTCGAGTCTTAAGAGGCGAAACGCTTCAGCGAAGTGATGTTCGGTGTGTGGTGTGTTTTCTGTCTTCCTTTTCGGAGAACTGGTGTGTTATGATCACATCTAGTGTTAGTATAGCTGATTTATTGTTTGAAAAGACCATATCGTTTGTCAGAAACTTTGATCGGCTTTCACCTGATATCGGAGCAGACGGGTCTTTGCATTTGATGTCACTTGGAGCCAAATCGGTTTTCTCTCCCGGCAGAAAACACCTTCCGCAGGGTTTCAGCAGAGTTGCAACTGTTGAACTCATTTTTCTTGTGTGTCCAGGTGTTGAGAAGAACCGCTCCATAAATTTCAATGGACTGCCCCATCCAAGTCTACGCCTGTGTTGGTTGGTGGGAACCATGACATGCGGAGTCAGGATGCAGAGTTGGAACATTTGATCAGGATGACTGCGGTGCTCAAGTCGATCATGTCGTCCACCACCTCATGTCGCCCCATGACTCGCCTCGCAAAGCACAGGAACAAAAAACATCAAAAAACGTCCACTGATGCCTGTCAAGCTTCAGAACCTTTATCATGTCTGCATTCCAATCAGACGTTTCTAGCGTTATTTTCTGGCCATGCTCGCCCTCGCACTCCTTTTCAGCTTGCGCCTTGGCGCACTGGGCTTGGCGTCTTGTGAAAATGATTGTGATGAGAACTCCGGTCCTGGTCTTTCACTGGTCCAGATGAGCACCTTGACTTGCAGATGCCGCCCCTTTGGGAGGGTGGGCACCAGTGGGCTGGGCCCACGTCTTTTTTCGACACGCCCCCTGAGGTGGATAGCAACACATGTAATTAGTTTTTGAACACAGTTTTGGAAGGTCAGCACTTTTTTGATCAGAGTTGCCAAACAGTCCTTTGAGGGAGTTGATTTTTAACACGACATATCAAGAATGAAACCAGGTTTGGCTCTGGTCATGTAATAAGCTCAATCAGGACATGTGCCCAGGAGTGACTGAGTCACCGTTTTTGAGCGTTTTGAGGTATCGACCAAGCAAAGAAACGTGTCTAATACTGTAAGTCTTCTGGAGGGGACCAATAAACAGTCTCCTGAAGAATACGTTCACCTTCTGAATACGTTGACACTTTTCTCAGCCAAGCACCTCAGGCATTTCAGGCTTGCCCAAACAAGCTCAGCGAGTTGCTGTGGGAGAGGACGTTCTCTCCTGTTTGCTGCTGGAGCCCGAGCTGCACGAAGCGGTTCGGCAGCTTTTGAGCGCGGAGAGCGGCGATGGCATTGGAAGAGCCTGGAGTCTGTTGGCTTCGCAGTTGGGATGTCATCCAGAGGCCTTCCAGCGCCAAAAGGAGCAGGCGGCTTTTCGGAGGCACAAGGCCTCCCTGTTGAAGTTGCTGGGTTCTTTGAGCAGTTCTTTGAGATTGAAGCCTCAAGAGCCGCCCGTGACCTTTCCGAATGGGACGACACTCTTTACCTTTGACAGTGTAGACATGGCGACGGACAAGATCGGCACGGGGGAGCTTGGACAGTTCGGGGAAGATGCCAGCGTCTTTGAGGCAGGCTGGCTAGAGGTTTGTGTCGGTCCCGTCTTTCCGGAACCCGCGCACAGGAACCAGACTGCGTCAAGGAACCGAATGTGAAATCCTTGAAGTAGATGCAGAACCCTGGAACCTTCTCCTGAAAATGAAAGGGAAGATAGGGGGCCAGGGACAAGAGGAGGAACCATATTAGAACATACCATTCCCTTTCGAATTTCCAAAGAGACCTCCATTTCATTCCATTTCCAACATATTTTGAGGTGGGAGACGAGGCTGGCGATCTTGCCCACCTGTAACGACCCCAGCAACGACCCCAGCAGAATGGATTTAGGCATGTCTTAGACGGGAAACTTGAGCCATGTGTATTCACACCGTCCTAGTGTGGGCCACGGCACTCTTCATCCAGATTGAACCACGATTCATTCACAGGCCCTGAATGAGAGAACCCCAATGAATTGCACAGTGCAGTTCCACCAGATCTCCAGATACCATGAGGCATCCCCAAGCTTCGGAACCCTCAAAGGGTGTGCTCCACTCATCGAGCGGTCGGGTCGAAACGACCGGTGTCTGGAGCGGTACAGGTGGCGCTCCGGGCCAATCAGACGGGGCCCTTCTTGTGGGATCTTTCACCTGCAGAGATGACCTTCACCATCGGCCCAGCCATCCGAGGCAAGAGAGAATGAGTTGGTGACGGGCGTATGATGGGCCGTTTGGTGGGGGCAGGTGTTCCGGTCGTGGTTCCTCATGAGGATTCCAGTCCTCTCTCTCTCTCTCTACATATACTATATATATATATGTATCACATGAATGTAATAATATCACATACATCATTATAATGCTATTTAGAAAAGTAAGTCCCATCTAAAAAACACCAAAGTAATTCTTGGACATCATGTCGATCCTTTTTGGGACCCGGGCCTTCTCTTTCTGTCTCTTTCCCAAAGCTCCCAACATACCGTCCGACATTCCTTAAGAAAGAAGCTCGCAGTCGTCCGACCGCCGAAGCGGTTTCCGCCGACCGTCCAGTCCTGCGCTCCACACCGGACATCATCGTTTTCCTCCGCCGAGAGCTTACCCTTGAGCCGACCCCGAGCGCGACCCGTCCGTGGCGGGAGGGCGTTCCGGCCATGGCGGAGGGAGGGCTGGACCCGAAGGAACTCCAAAGCAAGCGCTTTTGGTGACCTGCCTATAGCCGTGGTCCCTAACACACCTCCAGGCGCTTCAGGCGCTTCCTGGAAGGTCCCGTCCTCACGTCGTCCATGACGGGAGACGGGTCTGTTGGAAGCACCTGGACCGTCGAGGTGCGCTGTCTGGAAGTCTTTTTGGGTGTGGGGTAGTCCGGACAGCCCGACAGGATGGTACTGGCATCATTCATCATCCAATTCTTCTACCAGCACCCTCCAACAGGTCACCAATTGAAACCTTTTTGGGGTCTAACAACCCTCCATTTCGGAGACCTGTTGGAGGGTCCAGGTACTTTTGGTGCAGAAATTCTTCCAACATCTTCCTGCCTGTTTTGGATCACTCTTTAACGAGCCGTGGGCTTGAACCCGTTGGTCCGCGCTGGGAGGTCCGAAAGGGTTCTGATCCTCCCGCGTCCTTGACGTATCGAAGAAATAGCTCAACCAGAGATGAGATGTGACCGAACAAATGCCTCCAAACCCTTTTCTTTATGGGTGCATTGGGGTCTCCTGACGCCCCCCACCCCAAGGGCCGAAGGGCTTTTTCTGACGTCTCTTTCAGGTGAGACACGTCTCACCACCTGTGACCAGCCCCGATTCGCGGCGACCGGCAGGGATGTTCCTGATCTCCGGCAGTCTCTTTCCGCTGACGGCCTCCGCGGAGGGGGTGACCGGGCGGCTCAAGGCGGGCTTTGTGGCTCGGCCCGACATGAGGTTGTCAAAAGCTGGAAGAAAGGCCCCCCCAAGAAGAAAGGAGAGGAAAAGAGACCATGAGTGGGGACTCACCCTTGTTGGGGCTCGGTGTTGGTTCGTGAACGCATGTCATGGAGTCATGGGGTCATGGGGGTGTTGTTTTCATGCAAACCTTTGTGTTATTGTCAGACACAACCGCCACGCCTGCGGGTAGTATTTCCATCGATCTGCTGGCCTGACCTCGGCTCAGGCCGACCCGCTGGCACCGAGGTCAATCTGCATTCCACGGCAACTGGAACGTGGACGACCGGAGCAGAAGGGCTCGCTGGGAATGTCTCGATCCAGTTCGGAGGCTTCTTGCAGAAGAGCTGGACCTGGCAGCCATCGTGAAAAGCAGCGCCATCGTTGGTGGCGTCATTTGTGGACGGTGCCCATTTTTGCGCCACGAACGATGTGGCCCCCTTGGGATATTTTGAGTCTATGCGTCACCCCGACGTGGCTGCTGCCAGTCCCTTGGCATCCAAAAGTGATGCTGAGCAAAGAGGATTCATGAAGGAAAAGTGGCTGGACATGAAGTTTGTGGTCGCTAGAGTTGAAGCAACATTTTCCTTGATCCTGTTGTTGTTGTTGTTGATGATGATGATGATGATGATGATGATGAAGTGTGATTATGTGATATATGATATATGTGTCCTACTTTTTACTCCTCCCTCTGATAAAGTTTGTGTATTGTTAACATTGATACCCATATAGGCACCAGGATGCACTGGGCCAGTGTCAAAGACCTTGGAAGTGTGGCCTTAGCCTGACCGGCCTTTTTGCACAAGTCACAGCCCGACACATGGAGACTTGTAGCCAGTGTTCTCTTTTTGTGTTTCGTACTTATTTGTTTAACTATTTCTAAAGATGATGTTCTTATGTCTTTATGTTGGTGGAAGAAGGACACCTATACTACAACCACTGATGTATCAACAATATGCATGGGGTTTTCCGGTCCCAAACATCTCAAACCTCCGGCAGCTGAAAAGGGGTGCTTCATAGAGGTTAAGGGTCCCCATGTCCTGGGTACATACATGGAAGTGGAGAATGGCCCCTTGGAAGACCATTTTCCACTACAAACAGGTGGTGCCATCCATTTCCATGTTATTTTCAGGGAGAGTAAACGTTCTTCGTTTCTTCATCGCTTCACGGAAGGTGGCGCCTCCCGTGCGCATGGCCCTCTCCGCCGAGCCGACGCCCGTCGGGGGACCCTGCTCTGGTCCGGTCGGCGTGGCTTCTACCGTGCCTAGCGTGGTGCCGGGGGATCAGACCCGGGAAGGTTTTTGACTGCATTTGTACACAGTGAGGGATGTGAGGGGGAAGGCTTCAACCGCTGCTTTAGCGGTTGCATTTCATGCATTTGATGTGTTTTTCTGTGAATTAAGTCAGGGGGCGAAGTACTTAAGTTTAGGATCTGAAAGGATGTGGCTTTTGAAGATGTTTTGGAGCTGAGGCGGTGAGCTTACCGACCACCTCTTCACAGCCAGGCGGGGCCTTCAACGGCCTGATTGAAGGTGATTGTGAGCCGAGGTGAATCACGGTAAATCCATGTTGATGGATGCATGATGTGGTGATTCAAACCAACATAAGCTCAAAGATGGGGTCAGGGTGTTTCCAAAGAATTCCAATGCTATGCATTCACAAGAAATGAGAACCCAAAAAGGATCAAAAAGGCATGGGATGCCTGCCGTTTTCGGTCCCCCGGTTGCCTGGCCTTCAAACTCGTTTCGCTAGGCTCTGTGAACCTTCCCCTGCCCGTCACCAGTCTTCAAACCGTGACGCGGTCGGGACACCCAGTAGAAGGCCGGTGGGTCTTGTTCCGCAGAGCCGGTGGAGCTGGAGCCGGTGGAGCCTCTGGAGCTGTCTCGCGGGACGAAGGGATCGAGACATGTCGGATCCACCCCGATCACCTGGGAGGACCCCCGGTTGGGCGGGAGGTCAGTGGGTGGAAGCTGCCGGGAGTGACAGATTCGGTCGGTGTCGATCGGAGAGAGTCGGTTTTCAAGAAACACATCCCAAACCATCCCTCATGTGTTTCAAGCTCCGGAAGGGACGCATCAAAGCACGGTTTGCCATTCCTCGCCTCCCATTTTGGCCCCATTTTTCGGTCTCCTCCCATTGCGTCGCACACCGCTGGTGACTTCTCAGCCGCCGTGCGGCGACTTCGGTGAAACACGTCCAAGGCCCAGTGGTACCGTGAACTTGTCAGCCTCCTACCGCAGCGTTGCACCGAGCGTGGCGCCCACCGCCTTGGGCCCGATAGTGCAACCGATGCGCTCCATGGAGGCGATTTGGTGCGAAGCTGCAGGGGCCGAAGCTGAAGCGGGTGGCATGGTTGTTCGAAGGGTGAAGTGAAAGGCTTGAAAGGAACACGTTTTGGTGCCAACTTGTTGAACTTCTTGTCCCAAATTGCTGGGGAACAGATTTCCTAGGACCCTCTAAGGGTCTATATACTGTGTTCAGTCAAAGCCGCCAGTTCATTGACACCTGTGGAGGGTCTCACCCAATGCTCAGCAACCTGATCTCACCCAACGTGAGGTCAGGAAAAATCAGATCACAGATCTGTTGCAACCAATGATCAGCATTCCCGAACTTCATAGGACTTTCATTTCTGCATTTGAACATCTTCCAAACTTCCCTCACCTCACCTATCTACCAATACCAACGTGCCCTAGGTGAACTCCTCGTGACATCCCAATTCTTGCGGTGACTGTTCCACCTCGTTGACCTCGTCAAGGTTTGCTCCCGGGGTCAATCACCGTGCTTCGTGCCGTGCTTCACCCTCTGTTGCTCGCTGCCTGGTGCCGCCCTTCCTGCGCGCCTGTCCTTCGCGCTGTCGCGGAGGTGCTCCCCGCCGCCCAAATGGCGGCCAATGCCATGGCCGCCAGTGGCTCCTCCTGGGGCGCGCCCAACTGGCTGGATGCAAGACCAGCGGCGTTCCGATCTACTCAAACCAGGCTGGTAGGGCCACTGGCAGGGAAAGGTGGGAAGGAGTGTGTGGAGGAAAGGCAGGTGAGGGGTCAATTATGAAGTGAGAGGCTTGACCAAGGGATGGAAAGTGGTGGGTCAAGGTGGAATTAGATGGGGACTTGTAACTCAACTAGTGGGTTTTCTTCATGTGCGGAGTTACAGATGGATGTTGCGATGGATGGCCCAAGCTCTTTGAAGTGGTTGGATGGCCCAGGGTAGGACTGTAGGACTTGGGGTTGTTGGGGGCCATGGCCGAGTTGAACAGGCTAGGAGTGGGCCAGGTGGCCAGATGTGGAGTATATAACATTCCATCGCTTGAACGACAGCCTCAGGCTATGAATAGCCTCGCGTACGCTCCCCGAATCCAGTTCCGATGAAACTGAAGGACAAGTCAAACGGAGGTTGAACAGGCCAACCGATGGAGTTCCTTGAAAACAAAAGACGGTGCATAGAGGTTCTACATAGTTGAAGATCAGCCTCGTCTGAGATCCACCTGTCGGCCTTAGTCCTTTTGAAGTCGCTTCATCCGATGTCCAGAGCCTTCTGATCGCCCAGAGCTGCTTCGCCCACGCGTGGACGCGCGACGTGCGTGGCGCATGGCTGGCACATGGCCAAGGACCCAACCTGATCTCCTCCAAAAACGTGTCCCAGAGAGCAAGGTTCTTTTTTTGCAAATTGAAGACTCCCAAGTGGCACAAAAAAGGGGGTTGTCCTCCCAAAATCGGGGTAGAATTCCAAGAATCAATGAATGTGGCAGGGACCCTGCGGCAGAGGGCCTTTCTGTACATCAACAACACTGTTGGTGGGACATTGACGCGTCCATCCTGTGCAAGTGCATCCTTTCTTGAGCCAGAGTCTAGAGAAGAAGAGCACACACACACATACACCACTCGCTTCTTCGAAGCTCTGAAAAGCCAATCTAGAAGAATAGCTCATCTTCGAACCTTGGGGTCCATCGCGCCAGCCGCAGGGAGCAGTTCCGCTGAGCTGATGCCAAAGTTCTGCATTCGGTCGGTGGGGACATCCAAACCAGAAGCGAATTTAGTCCTCAATTCGAAGCTGGTTGTAACAGATTGTAACCCTGACATGCATTAAAAAACCCTTTTCAGAATGCAGGTCCAACGACATCCATGAGTTCTTTTTGGTTGGCTTCAGACATGCTTCTTCCACCTTTACAAAATCGACTTACATCACGGGCGCCTTGTCTTCGCGAACTGAGCATGCCGAGTCTTCGGACTGAGCATGTCAGGTGTGACTCATGGGTTTGAGGATCGGGTTTATGTTTTTTTTATGGGTGAATCCACTTCTCCGGTTCTGTAAGCAACTCCAAGGTGAAGAGGGGGTTGAGTTTTGAGGGGTTTGAAAGGGTTTCAATGGCGTCATTTGGGACCCTTTGGGTACTTGGTATCACGAAGCCTTTTGAGGCCAATACGGCCAATACTCTGATACTCCAATCTTCTCCACAGAGCATGCAGCAGGTCAGTGATGTTGTCTGAGAAACACAGAATGAGATGGGAGACGCTGCAAAGAAGCAGGAAAAACTTTTGTCGGATGTTTCTCCACACTACGTCATGGGTGGGTTGACCTCTTCTATATGGCTTTAGACGTTTGTTGTTGGATTTGGGGGCTACCGTGTCATCTACCTAGCAGGTTGCACAAGCTTTTTCACTGATGCTATCGGCCGAGGGTGGTTCCATCGGCCGACGTTGATCCAACGCATATTTACACGAGCTCGAGACGAGCGCAGTTGGAGAAGTCGAGATTCATGGCTCGCGTGAAGGAAACATGGAACTGGAAGTCCTGAAATTTGGCTCACACGCTAGAACAACCCAAAGTCACAGGATTCACGGAACAGTTTCATCGCAGTTTCATTCACTTCCGCAGCTGAAGGTGCCTGAGAAGAGCTCCCACAAATGAGGACCTTTGATGAACACCTTTACCCTCCCTCCAACAATCATGGAAGTGGACGTTCTGGCCTCCTGGAACACTATTTTCCACTACCAACAGGGGATTGTCCACTTCCATGTTTGTTTCAGGGAGTGTACGTATATAATCTTTATAGAAAGAGCGCCTCTCAGTCAGATGATTTGATTTGCATCGTCTCCAAAAGCTCTGGTCTTGTGTTCTTTCCAATGGAAAGGGTCGGCAGAGGGGATGAAGGCACTTCAATTGCAGAACATCGTGACATGTTCTATTATAGAGTCTATTCTATACATCCCAGACACTCTATGTATGACATTTTTGCCGAGAATCAGGCCAGGGGTGGTTTCAGGGGTCAATGTAAGGCATCTCCGTCATATTTCGGAGTGTCTGGTCATTTCAGATTCGACGACTCGACGATGCTCGTTGCGCTGCACCCGCTGACGCTCGTGATACGGACGCGGTCACTGTAGCTCGGACGCCACGCCATCCACAGCGAGGGCGGCGATGGTTTCGAAGAAAGGACGCGGGGACGTGCCTTTCCTCCGCGGTCTCCATTTGGTTCGATGTACATCCTTGCGGAGCCTCCACACATGTCATTGCCGTTGATCCAACACCTTGTCTTGTTGCGCAGGATGGCGGGATGGCCCTAACCGCCCCTTAGCGGTCACAGAGTTGGGTCTGCAATTCCTTGATGGGGTCCAAACTCCCCCGCCGGATTCATCCTTGACATTGTTTGGTATTGACCAAAACCGGTGTTTTTGGCCAGTTTTTCATCACAAAAAGACGAATGGCCCGAGTTTGCCAACGACCCTTGAGAAAGTTGTTTATATTTGTTTTCAGCAGAGCTGAGCTGTGCTTTCGAGTGCCTGTGTAATTGGATCAAGCACAAGATAGATGAGGGTCACATGGCCCCATGGGTCAAAAACCAAGGCACAAAACAAAGCCATGGTTTCCACGTCTTCCCAGCAATGGATAGAACGATAGACCTTGTATGGAAGGAATATGCCAGGATTTGTCTTAGGCCCCGATAAGGGGTTGATGATGCGTCAGAAAATGGGAAGATTATATGATGAAAAGCCATCGATTGGGGTTGGGCCCCGACTCCCAAAACAATCAGATGTCACAACCCATGTCGCTGAGGTGTAGTTTTCATCTCAACATATCTCAACGACATGGGGTGAACAGATTCGCAGAGTGTTGAGTGATTTACTGTATTTCTTACAAAACCTGTCTCCTTTTCCACCGTCCAAAAGATCATTCTTCGCAGAGATCTCCTTCACACGGACGCCGCTCGTTTTCGCACGGACTCTCCGCCATGCGCCAAGACGAGTGGCCACCAGGCCGCGCGGGATGCCGTGCGGGGAAATTGGTTCGCATCCACCAGAGGGGTAGCAGCTAGTTGAGGAAATGAGGACATGAGGCCCGGTGAATGGAAAAGAAAATGAGTGTGAGATAGTGTGAGTCTTTGCTCTGAGCTCTGTGTGAGATAGTATGAGGACACCAGGACACAAACATAATGCCACTGTCTACCCCTGCCCCACGGTGAGTCAGACATACCAATCAAAGAAGTCGGCGCCCAAGAAAGAGGTCCAAAAGAGCATAGAAGACGACACCGTTTTCTGCTTTCAACATTTCAATCATGATCTCTAAGAGGAAATTGTGTACATTAACCTAAAACCATCCAGATGCTGGTTTTGGGGGGTCCCCATGGTGTTTTGCTGTTGGCTTGTTCGCTATGTTCGGCTCGGCTCCTCACCGACCACACCAGGCTCATGACGACCAGCTCATGGCGGCCAACACGCGGCTCATCCGTTCCTGGGCCACCCAAGACCGGCGGACGATGCAGCCCACCGTTCCTGTCTTTTTGAAAACATCTTCATACTTCAGTGTATGGAAGGCTGGCCATGAACATCAACTGTCTACTGTAGACAGAGGCATAACGCTTTGATAAAGAAACGCAGTGACGCTGCTAATATATTGTTATTGAAAGCTGTTGCAAAGCATCTTAAAAGGGGTTGGGTCTGTAGTAACACGGACTGTGCTTTTTCTACTCTCCGTCTACTCAAAGCACATCCCGTCGCACGGTGGACCGTCTGTCGAGGAGCATGGAAGTGGAAGGTTCATGACAGCCGTTTCTTTTCACATCCAGTATGTGGTGACTCGGTAGTGTTCCAGTCTCAAAGGATCTGTTTTCCTTAAGCCTTATGATCTTCATGAGCTGTGCTATTTCTCGAGATAGCTGAAAGCTAAGCTGGGCTTCATACTTCTCCACTTCTTCTCAATTCTTCTCCTTCCTCCTCGAACGCTGGCCCTCACCAGGCCTTGAGAAAGCAGCTGAGGATGCAACCGTGCTGTATACATTTGGAGTTATGGAAGGGGTTCTAGATGGATCTAGGTAAAGCCATAGGTTGATGGGGATCCATGTAATCACAAGCTCTTAGAATTTGTAGCATTTCTGTATATTTCAGTCCAGTTTCAGTCCCATTTTTGACATCCACTCACCAGCTCAGCTGTTTTCGGAGGGAAACACTTCTGACGGGACAGCCCCACGCTCCACGGGTCCAGGCTACTTGGCCGTGCTGGGACTGGAACCACTGGAGCCGGAGGCGCTTGAGGCGGCCAACGCGTCGACCGGAAGACGGCGCAAGACCGGGGGGGGGGGCAAGTCAAACGCTGTTTGGTGCTGACCTCAGTGATGGGCATGTCGATTGACATGTGGGTGGCCATGTGGGTGGCCAAGGCGCTGACATTCTGCTGACCTATTCGCTTTGGAGATCTTGCCTATATTTTGAACATCCTTCTTGTGAAGTTCCTTTTCAAGCTTTGCCAAGTTTTTGCTGGTTCCCATTCTTCAAGCATTGCATCATGGACTAGTGGACTGAACCACGGCCGTGCTGCTATTTTGGGCGAGCACTCCCAAAAGAGTTGTATACACTGCCCCCGGCGACTCTGGAGTTGGCAGGATTCTGATGCTGGTCGCCGCTTACTTTGCAAGCTTGATAGCGGTGGGCATAGTGTGGCTTGCTTGAAAGAATCGTCGAACCAAGTCGTGTTGCAGATGGACTGGCACTTGAGAGAGTGGCGGTTGCAGAGGCTGTTGACTCATCAATTTTGTATTTTCTTCAGTGAACAAGCCTGTGAGTTGGCAGAAGCAAAAAGCACCCGGCATTCCGAGCATTCCATGCTGGAACTGGCTGCATACTATAGTGCTATGCTCTGCATCACTCCTCCTTAAACGGGCGTGGGGGTGGGGTGGTGCGCAGGAACCCGCAGCGGTTGTACTTCCATGTCCGGGTTCGTGGCGGGCGCGGCGCTTTGGGTTTGGTGGTGGTCTTTGGAGTGCCGTGAACCGTCAACGATGGACACGCAGCTTGTTTTCGGTGAGTCATCAGCCTGGACTCGTGGCTAGTTTTCGGAATTGGGGAGAAGTATCGCGCGAAAGCTTCGTTTGGCATCTCGAGCTTGTCGAAAAGCCCTGGCAGGGCTGCGTGATGTGAATCATGAGGTCAGTGTGCTCTCAGGGTGTTCTCATATTCGTGCTCTCCTACAAACACATGGTGTGTGTGTTTTTACTTGAGCGCCCTCACATGTGCGCTGTTGGTTGTGGGGTCTCATGTGTGCTCTCATGTTTGTGCTTTTATATTGTGTGCCTAAGGGCGTTTGCTCGTGAGCATGTGTGTTCGTTTGCGTGTGCTCACGCGAGTGTGGACATTCGCTTCTTCACCCCTGGCTTTGTTCTACTTCAAACTGTTTGGGGTCTCTTGCGGGGATACTTTTTGATACTTTTTGCTTCTTGCGCTTCCATGGTTTCTTCCAGTGTTAGCTGGATCCATTGGGTCTAGGTCAAAGACGGCCAGTCCTTTCGTCTCGTATTTCGCTGCGCCAGGCTGCGTTGAAGTCGGAGGAAGGCCCGGTTCGGATGGACGATGCCAGTTCGCCCCCGTTCCTGAGGACGGCCAGCAATGCCTATGCGATGGTGACCGGGGTCCCCCATGCATCGGTCCGGTCCGGCCAGGCCTCAAAGCAGTGACCTTGGAGCGATTCCCACAGGAGGCCGGGTGCGGGAGCCGCTCCAAGATTCTTCACAGAAGCCTAGGGTTTGAATCTTCGTGATTTGACAGGTATTTACTTCGGACCCATGTCCCCCGGTTCGGGTAAGTAGAAATGGGGATGAACATGGGACCAACTGACCAACCTCCTCTATTTCTGACTGCCTAACCGCGACGTTGCAGATGTCTAAGACACGACCGTCTTTTCGTTGAGGACGATGATGTGCCGCTGAGCCCAGTGCTGAGCCCCCTGCCCGATTTTTGTTTTAAGGACCGCACGGTCTGGGGGTGAAGGGCGAAACCTGGGGCGAGCGAAAACCGGTCTCCCGCACACCGTGCCGGAGCTCGTCGGATCCGGAACGTCCGGTGCCGATCTCGTTGGGACCCCGGGACGGTTTGATGGGCTTCTGACTTCTTGAGCAACTCAACCTTGCGGGAAGTGGACCAACTCAATCAGAGTCTTGAGTTGGTTTTTTTTGTGAAACAAAGCAGGTGGAATCTGAGAATGCTCCACTTTCTGGGCCCTCTCAAAGCAGCTCTGTTTTCCTGTGTGTCATGTTCATTGTCGGTTTTGAGCCATACAACATCAAATTTGCACGAGAGCGGGCACCCGCTGTTGCGCCAGTGTGTCACCTGCAAGGTGTTGGTCCGTTTTCAATGACTAAAAGGATTTCCGGCAGTCCGGGTTCAGACAGGGTGTTCATATACCGCTCATTCAGGGCCTAGGGTTCACACCCGTTCAGACTGCGGTGTCCAGCAGGAGGCTCAGTGACCAGCTGGAGTCACCAGCTGGACCGGGAAGCCGACCGTGTTCCGGGGTTGTCGAACGCAGAAAACGAGAGGACAGCAAGAAAGACATGTGACATGACACCTTAGCAGTTGTTATACAGTTTAGTTTAGAAACAACATCATTATGATTGACAAGGTGGTTGCGGCCTGTGTATTCGACCGCGTCGACACTTGTGAGACGGTCTAGTTCGTTCTTTCAAATGTGAACTGCTACCGCTACCCACCCCCAAGAAGGATTTGTGGTCACACATTTGCAACATATCCTTTTCCTCACCTGACAACCCGAAAAACGTCCCGCCTTCTCACTCTTCTATGTTCAATTGCACCAATTGAAGCGGTGTATCCCCTCCGACCTACAGCGATGTAGGGTTTTCGTTCACTAGCCATGAACCCTGAAACCACCCATCCAGCCCTTCATCCGAAGTGGATGGGCCGGGCTTCTTTCTTCTCTTCCGTGGTGCCGAAGTGTTCCATCCGTCGCAGGATGGGCTTCGCCTGGAAGAGCACAAGCCCAGCCCGAGCCCGTCCTTCACCTCCGTGGCGCCTTGGTCGCATCGTAGCGATGGCATGGGATGGGGCACCGGTGGAATCAACACAACACCCAAAACGGGTTCGTTCGTTCGAAAGCTCACTCGTTCTTCTCACCATGCATGTCGTGTATGTTGGAGCCGGACCCGAGGGCTAGCCCGACAGGTCGGAGTTCTGGGCACCGACAACACCGATGCTGGATGGTCCGACCTTTCGCTACCCAAAGCGGAGGACCTCCGCTTTGGGGATACAACGAACATGGCACATGTCCTATAGGTTACTACGGTTGTTGTTTCGGCCAAGCTTTTTTTGGTCCAATGAATGTGAGTCCAGAGCTTTCATGACCTTTTTTTGGGTGGTTCCCCAGGTTGGTGCTTTGGAAGATTCGTTCTGCATCCCCCGGGTCTTCTCCAGAGTTCTCCCGTTCGTGGACAGACGATCGGCCGGGGATGCGCTTCGTTCAATGCTTTCGTCAGATCCTTCGATCGGCCTCGCCCAAGGTCGGTCGAGCGCATGAGCCATTCGCTCGAAAGAACATCCGACTGGACCTTCCAGTCGGGGTATCCTGTCTGGAGATCCACCTACGTAGTGTAGAATGTGTAGGATGTGTAGGGTCAATTGGAGACTCCGAATGGAGGGTGCTGGTCAGCTCTGCTGTTTTCTTTGATTTAGGATCTCAACCCCCAAATCTGTTCCTTTCAGGTCAACTTCGAGTTGAATCCCACTCCCAGGTCTTCACTTCTTCTTCCGGGGGCCCGGACGCCTCAGCTCCAGACGGAACGCAGGCGCTCCGAAGCCACGACGGGCTCCGAACAGAGAAGACACCGGAGCCCCCTCTGGCCGCCCCCCCGAGCCACACGGACCCGGCCGTGGCGCGCTGACCCAGTGAGCCGCGCGAGAACTCGCAGCCAAGCACTGAGGTCGATTGCATGTGGCTTGTCTGATGGTACATGAGCGGATGGAGCGCAGCGGAGGAGGAGAGCGAAATCGCTTCAGTTTTTGTCAAAAAGCAATTTCCGCAATGAAATGGCAGGAAGACTGAGTCGAAAGTATATGACAAATTATTAAAAGAGCCCCTACAGGTCAAGGACCTCGGTCATGCAAAACCAGTACTCAATGAGGTCAAAGACCAGGTTTAACTTGGCCCGTAGGGGATATCCTAATCTATGGAAAGGATTGGAAAGGCAGAGCTCGCGACTCCACAGAGTTTTCAACTCAGATGGTGCAAGCTGCAAGATGAATCAGCCCATCAAACAAGACCACGTTCCGCAAACATGAGCAGTTGATCAATTTGCTGCCGCCTCCTCCTGTGGGCCTCAGGGTTTTGCTTACAGCTGTATGGGGAGCATTTCAGACGATAACATGGATCGCCAAAACCAAAATTGAACTCCCAAGAAAAGATCCACAACAATATCTGTTCTTGCGGGCCCCCAAAAGAAAAAAGGAACTCCCACCAAGAGATCCACTAAGAAGATATCTTCTTACGAGCCGCGAAAGCCCAAACCAAATGGGAACTACCGGAGACCCTTCACGGTTCACGGTTTCGTTGGCGCTTGGACCCGACGGTCCACCGCGCTCCAGGATACGTCTACGCGCCGAAGGCCGAGCGGCCGAGTGGGCCGCCTCTTTGCGGGCGACCGATCTCGCAAGGGGTCGGGCCGCATGTGGGGGGAGACGAAGATTGGTCGAAAGGTCTCCAGATAGAAGAGTGAATCCATCTTATAGTGGTCCCCAAATAGATAGGATTGCACGATGTCCAATACATAAGCGGTTTTACTACTTTTCATTACTTTTCAATGACAGGGGGGTCAGTGTTGTCCCAGGTTGTCTTCCCACCCACCGAAACTGGGTGGGTTCATGAACATCGCTCGGTTTGCTGGTGCGGTGCGAAGGAAGCGCAGAGGGTCCGGAAGCGCCGAAACCGGCAGAGCTCGACTTGGAATGACTCTGCCAGAGCTCGAATGATCCCAGGACCCGATTCTTGGTGTGTCCTGGCACCCACTTTTCTGGGTGGGGGTAGAAATCGGATGGTCCTGGAATGGGTCCTGGTCCTGGTATACTGAGTGATACCGTTGTATTCAACTTGAAGCTTCCAGGTTCTGGCAGAAGGTTCAAGAGCTTGGATGCCGAATGGATCGCTCCACGAATGGACCAGGTGCCCGAACGTTTGTTTCGGTCCCCAGAACGTGCCTACATTGTTAGAATGGAACCAAACGGATTTTTTAGCCAACTCATGTTTGGCCAACTCGGAGACCGAAGGCTGAACTCTCCTTTTGGTCTACCGGTCTACCGTGGGTGCTCCGGGAAGCGAAGCGGGAGAGCTCACTCGACCCGTGACGTCACGGTGACGTAACCGCTAACCGCCTCGCGTCGACCCCATCGATGGGAGGCCTTGTGCTTGGTGTCTCTTTTCCCATGTCTGGAGCTGCTGCGGAGCTTGTTCTCGCCTCAGACCACAGCTGCTTGTGGGCTCCGCAGCCGAAGACCGCTGACACGCAGTTGGCTGATCCCTCCGGTGGCTGCTTCCGGTCAAGTGGTCCACCTTCAGAGGACTGAGCCCTGGGGCAGCTTGCTGTGAGAATCGTGGTCCATTGATGATATTGATGTGTTCCCGCGTTCCGTGAGCCAGGGGATGCCGGCTTTCGTGCAAATCTTTCAATTCTAAGCATACTGCATAGCTTGCACCAGCAAGTCACCATGGCAGCCCGTGTTGGGGACTCCCCTAGCTCAAGCCTTTCTCATGGTGGCACGTCATAACGTACTGGTCAACGTTGGTCAACTCTGTGTGTTGAACATGGGATTGCCATTCCTAGGTGATTTCTGCGGTTTAGGATGGTTTAGGCGATTTACAGTATTGTTCGTTATGTTCGTTTTGCAGTTGAGAAAAGATAGAGGGCCCGTAGTTTTGGTTGAAGACCACGGTGTTGCTACGAAACATAGAACGGGAGCCTGTTGGACCTCCATCTTTCATCATCTTTCCATGTTTGTTGGAGAGTTCTTCGATGTTTTGCTTGCAGATTTTGGTGCTATCATTGTTGATGCTTGTTGAAGCGACGTGAAGGTCGGAACCGGATCCATCTGACATCCGACCTTAATTGGCTCCAGTTAAATGAGCCAGAACATCCACACACACATATATATAGTCATCGTCCTGTACATCAGATACACTCTACCAAAGGAACCATTTGCAGGACTTCCGACTTTCAACCACAGCAAGCGCGAAGCAAGCTAACCTTCGTTTGTGACCAAAGAGCCCTAACACACCCACGGGACCCCCCCCCACGTTTGAACTTCGCATCGAGGCCTCATAGCTTCGGTTTCCGACCGCCGAGGCTGTCGGACTTGGTCTTGGCCGCACGAGCGGATCAAGAGATGCAGCGGTTCACCGGCCGCGCCCGCACGGTGTTGGACGCCGGTCGAAGCCGAAGAAGACGGACTGAACGGTGCTCGGTACAGGGGCGGTGTATGCCACAAAGGCAAACGCGATGGATGGCGAGGTCAGGGCTACTGAGATAGGTGTGATTGACATTGATTCACCCTTAATTATGCACCATCGCGTGGGAAAGGACCACATCGGGAAAGCCTTGTTGAGAGGTTTTGTTGCAGGAAAGCCTTGTGAGACTTGTCAGACTGACATCGGGTTCAGAGACTCAACAAAAGGCTTGACCGGAACTGGTTATTGTATGATATTGTATGTTATTGTTACCTTTTTCTCAGTTTGACACAGGGTAGCAGCTGGGTAGCACGTGAAGAGAACGATTGGACTCTTACCATTCTATGGTGGGTTCTCCAAGCAGTCTCCGCCGGGTCCCTTGCCCCTCTAAGATCGCAGTCCACAATCATCCACAATCTACCAAATTGATTATTTGAATACACTATACTATAAACTATGATGGTTGCGACATGCAACTTGGCGGAGAGTGTGCACCTAGTTCTTTAAAGGTGGTTTTCCCTGGTTAAGACAAACCTGCTGTTTGGGCTCCCGTTTTTCTGCTCAACTGCCCCATGGTAAATGGGATTGCCATATATTTAGTAATTACAGTAGATAAATTAGATGCAATTAGTTTGAGTATGTTTGAGTAGCCTTTCTTTGCCAAGTCATCCTACTCTTCTAATAGCTTGCAGATTCTTTTTCGTTGAGCCATGTTTTGGAGCCATGTAATAGAGCCATGTCCAATGTCTAGTCATCCGACATGTGATGGACCAGTTCTTCCTTCCTTGCAGGGGAGCCATGCGACCCCTCCGAACGACTGGTCTTCCGTGGCTGGGCCGACGGCGGAACGAGGATGCGGGAGGAAACGGAAACGCCCTCCCAACGAAGAGGGGCGAGGTGACTCGGGTTGAGAGCCAAGATGACAAGAATGGTTGCGATCTTTGTTTCTTTTTGAATGAAAGGACCATGGATTTTGCACTTCTTTGTCGGAAACGCAAGGGCGGTCTGAAAGCCCATCTATAGCAGCTGGCAGACTCAGAGGTCTTGCTTCATTCTTCTTGTTCTTTTTTTGCTTGCGACTCCGCTTCAAGCACACCATTAGCTTCTATACTCCAAGACCAGGGTCGTGAGGTGTTGCCAAGTCTTTAGGACGTTGACGGGTCCAAGTACTGAATCCTACAGTACTTGCCATCTTCAACATCTATATATCCTCGTCTTATCTTGCTGGTTATCTTTCGTGGACGTCCTGGTTGGACCGGACCTGGATCTTGTTCTCTGATCTGTGCTCATGCACCATCCACCATTGGCCGATCGGACCTAGGTCTGGTGAGCCAGATCTTCTACGAGTTGCCACTGCCACCGAACCGGCACACCATGGTCACCTTGACCGCAGGCCTGGCATGCGCATGCGGCGCTGGCATGCGCGTGCCTTTCTCTGCGGCCAAGGGCCAAGGGGTCCAGAGAATTCTCCGAAACGCAACTGAAGTGGCAGGGGAACGAAGGCAACATCTGTGCAGTTTACAACTGCCTGAGCCCGGCGATCCATCATTTGTATGTTGGGAGCCCCCAAATTCTCAGCAGTCTCTCACTCGGTCGAGACGAAACTGGTCACCTCGTCCAAGAGTCGCTCCCCACCGCACCAAAACACCCCTTCAAAACCGGCAGGGTTCCCTTTCGGTCCCGGTACCCGAGGCCTGAAGGAGGTGACGATCCTCGACCAGGAGGGCTTCTCGTCCAAAACTCCTGGGACCGGAGGCGATGGTGTTCGGACCTGTACAGACATGTCTTGGAGGAGGTGGACTGGAGTCATACAGAACTTTTTGTCGACTAGTCATGGTAGTCATGAATCCATGTAAAGTTCACATGAGAATCCAACAGGTCCAGAGACCAATAAGACGCATGAGTGCTTTCTGACATGGGACTTCGCTTTTTTTTGGGGCTCACCCATGAGGTGATGAATCCTCCGCCACGGTGCACTGGTAAAGCCGTGGTCCACTCGGATCGCCCAAGGCTTTACCAGGGACTTCTCCTTCCGACCACTGGTGGCCTTCCTCTCAGTCAACAGGCGCCCGTCCGACGTCGCCTGTGGGGGTGAGTGGAGGGCCTCAGGCCGGTCTGGTGATGTGACCTGGGGAGGTCACGGATGCCACGGATGTTGCGCCTCCAGGCTCCTCATAAGGCTTAAGGCCTCCAAGGTCGGGCTCTGCTGCCCCCGGTCACCCCGGGTCTGCTTCGTGCCCCTACGAACGAACCGGCCGTGTGGACGCTGTGGGACGGACCCTTCGGAAGCCGTCGGAAACGAGTCTTCTCGGTCACACAGAGGCAGAGCAGAGCAGGTTGAGCCCAAGCTGAGCTGGTGGAAACAGACTTGTTGAGCTACGTTGCAGGAACCACTCAAAAGGAGACAAGTGACAGACTTGCTGGGAAAAGTACCCCGGCAGCTCGGCCAGCACATCTCTTGTTGACTTTGCAGCCTTCAGTGGCCCGTGACCACAGGCTAAGTCGGCCACATCCAAGTCTGTTCCAGTGCACATCCATTGGATGGTCTCAGTTCCATCTCCCACACTGCCACCATGCGAATACTCACTGTTGAAGAGACGAAGCATGGTGCCTCGTTATGTGCAAAGAGTTCTGAACTCGAGTCCGTTGAAGCTGGCAACATATTTGCCAGGCTAGCTCAGCTCTTTGTCCTTGTTCTGACAGAAAGAAAGGCACTGGAGTCGGGTCGAGGACGAGTCGTGGCGTGGCAGCCATTTCGGGGCGGTGTTCAATAGACTTAGGCCTTAGGCATCACCACATTGCTGACATTCTTGGTGAGCTGTGGGTCATAACCCGAGGACGGTTGACCGAACATGAACAGAATAGAGCACGTGACGTCGGTCAACCTACCAGGGTGAACGGGGCACACTCCGGGTGCCATGACCCACAGCCACATATTGTGTTCTTTTGGGATTCTTCCCTCTAAAGTCAGCAGAACGAACCAATTTGTTGAAGGTTTGATTTGACGACCTGCATTAATCATTCCGTTCTGTGATGAATTTTCATGAAGATGTTTCATCAAAGTTGGCGTTCAGACTTCCACCCCTTATAATTTGTGGCTTCATCACCTCGTTTCACTACTTGAGAGACGCAGCTAAACTGGATGCCTCCAGTTGTCAATGTCCCGATTATAGCAGTCCTGGCTTAGCAACGAACTTGAGATTGCTCTCCCCCACGGCTCGGGCGAACGAAGGAGTCGTCGTATTGATGATTGTGACTGGTTGCTGGGGCAATATTGTTGGTGTCCAGATGCATGAGTTGAACATCTTTTGGTAGAGGTTCCATTCACGTTGTATGTGTGCTTTTTCAGAGGACTCAAGGCGTTTTTTGTCAGCAACGACGGGGGCGACCCAGCTTGAAAAAAAGAGGGATGGAGAAGGGAAGGCCGGGGAAGGCGGTAAACCTTGGACCTCTCTCTTCTTTTCACTTTTTTTCAGGGGCCTACCAAAAGAGGTGGTGTGTGCAGATGTTCGGACCTGGGCTCATTCATGAGCGATACCGGTGTGTGCCGGACGAACCGTCGCATGTTGCCGTCCTCCGGGTGCCTCTCCGCGGTAAAAACACACCTGTGGTGCTCGTCCTTGGAGGTGGTCTTGAGCTCACAACAACTCAGCCCTGCACTGCTGGCCGGGCCGCCGTGGACGCCGCGGACCGGATGGGGAGACGGAAGGAGCGAGAAGAAGACGGACCGGACCCGGCTCTGTGAGACGGAAGGTAGGAGGTACCGTAGGACATCGTTTTGAACTCATATGGGTCCAAAGGAATCGTGTTTTGAAACTGTTTGGGGTCTATGCTGGTATCATTTCCTGTTGGTTTTCGGAATCATGAAGAGAGCAGGGATGCAGAAACCCTTTCTTGAGGGAAGCGTATTATAAGTTGTTGAGAGACATGACCATCAACAGCTGTCTGGGGATGTTGGGGATGGATGTGAATGTCTATCACAGTGCTGCAAAAGACCCACCCTTCAAACCCTGCCAACTCATGGGGCACCTGGCACCTGGGCCGCTCAAGCGGTTTGAGCTTTTGCTCAAGCCTGACCTGCGAGGCGGTGATCTTGGAAGCCCTGCGCGCGCTGCTCTTCCCCTTGGAATGGGTCTCTTGGCGCGGTTTGAGCCTCCGCCCCACGTCGGTGAAGACTCAGGACGTTAGGAGGTCTTTTGACCTGACAGGGTGGATGAAAAGGAGGAACTTCCATCTGGAGAAGACCCGAGACGGCTCCGTTCGACCCGAGACGGCTTTTTCTGGTCTGGGGAGATGCTGCTAAGGCCTATTTGAGTCTAAATCAAAAGGGCAAGGAAGACGATGTGAAATCAACACCAACACTCCTGATACTCACAGATCCTCACAATAGATCACAATAGGTATTTCATTGATGTAGGTTTGGCGTGTCCTGTGACCGAGTGGATCACCCCTTCAGATCACCCTTAGGCCTTCCCAGGTTGCTGCTCGGCTCAAAGCTTCCGCAGTTCGTTCGTCTGCCTTCGAGCTGTTCGTTCACGTGCTCCGCCCGCCTCCATACACACCGCGCCGCTGAACACCACACCGAGGAGCACGTCTATCTGCCGATCCTACCTCCGAGCTTCCGCTGGGCATTGGAAAGCCCTGCGCCCTTCCTGATGGGCATGGCTGGCAAGGCGCCGCTGGCCAGCGAGCTGGCAGAGGATGCAGGGCACTCAGATGCAACCTCCGGATTTTCTCCTGCCCCAGGAATGGGGAGGTGTAAGATGGTGTAAGTATGGATTTCATGACATTTCAATACATTTCATGACGCGGACTTACTTTTGAAAGGAACCCCCCTGCACCTTTGGTCCCTCAAACTGCTGCGAGGGGCCACCAGTTCGGTCGGCCAGACGGGACTCCGTCACCTTTGGACCTGGAGACGAGGACTAGTGGCCGAACGGGAAAACGGGTGTTCACGCGACAAGTTGACAAGTTAGACAGGCTGTGGGTCACCCTTTCTTCACCAAGAACAGGATAGACTACTAGACATGGTCAAGAATAGGGCTGGTGAAGGGGGCTCCAGGTGCCATGCACGAGGTTTGTATGCCTGGACGCCGGCCGTGGACATCCGGACGTGCGTGGGAACTTCGTTCTCCCCAAACAGGACGCATGCATCTCCTTCAAAGACCGTGTCCAAAACAAAAACGATGATCTTTGGAGATGCAAAAACGATGACTAGGAAGGATATGGAAGGATAAGTTTCCTTGCTCATGGGGGTTCATAAGGTTTGGTGCACCCTGAAACGGACACCGATTGCAATCGTTTTGTTTGCTACTTCTCTTGCTCCAGATTTGCAGTCTCAACATATAACACACCCTGGGGTGGTCCAGCGTTTGTCAAGTCGATTGTTTGCATGTTGTACATATATGATATGATCAACAAAAGGGATATATATATATGTCTATATACCAGCAGTTCCAAAGGGGTGCTTAATGGAGGTTAAGGGTGCCCATTATCCACTCACTTAGGGACTAAACACAACCCCTTTGCGACTCCTGGTAGCACATTCAATTTTGAACCGCAAAAAGTGATCCAACATGTCCGGCGTCGATTCGTTGTGAGGGTCCTTCGACTCAGGTTGTGGTCTTTGACTTGGATACGGGCAAAAGCATCCCGGACAAGATCCAGGCCCCTGCTGGCCATCTCCAGCTCCAGAGACTCATGGAGCGACTGACTTCAAATCGAAAGCGACTCTCCATGCGATGCTGTCTACTGTCTACCTTGCCTTCTCCACACGGAACCCCGAGAGTCGACTACGGCTCGCTTTGAGTCCCGATCTGATCGGGACTGCCAGGGAGTACCTCACTTTTGAGCCACGGCCAAACATTGTTTCAGATACTTTGCAAAAAAAATTCTAAAAGGTAATTCGCAACTTTGTTGGGTACTAGCTGCTAAGTGGCAGACCACTCCGGGTGAAAGAGTTAGTTCCAAACACCTTCAGCAGTTTCCATGTCGTTTTTTTTTGCAGGCGCACATATATGATGACGCTCAAATAGCCTTAGCAAATGGCCTCATTCACCAAGCCATGAGCCTCTGGAGTAGGCTGACTCCCAGACTCCTCCGTCAGAAAACGAGGCGATGCAGACCAGTACTGGGACCCCATGTTGGGTGGACACCCAGTTGCCGCACCAGTGTTGAAGACCCCCCCCCCAACCCGAAGAAGCACTCCGGTCTCCGGTCAACTCGGGGGGGGAGTGGAGGTCCTGGTTTTTCCTGGGTTTGGTGGATTGGGTCAGGTCCTCATGTGATGTCTGTCTATCCTCATGGTGATTTTCTGTGTTCATCCTCTGACCTGGGGTGGCGATGTCGAACAGACCTGCGGGGCCACCCACTCGGACTCACCGGGTCCATAGGTTCCGGTGCCCGAGATCATCGAGCAGCCGCTGGGGCGCTTGAGGAATGCGCATCAGTGGGAGCAACGTGCGGCCAACAAGGCTGGGTGGAGCGTTCTGGGTCAGAGTCCTGAGGACCTAATCCCTGGTAGGGTTGACCTTGGTATGTCAACCCCATCCTGGTGCGACCGGCACATCAGGCATCTGGAGAAGCGACAGGTGTGTAGCTGAAATATATCGGGAGACCGACCTCCTAATCTTCGGGAGAACGACCCCCATTGTTTGGAAGGGCAATGGACCAGAAACCCATTGTTTGGAAGTCCCCCTTATTGAAAAGTATACCCATCTCGAGAAATGGAGTTACCAAGCATCCGCAGCATCCGCTCATTTTGTTGATTCGATCCTACCTCTAGATGTCCCTTCTGAAGAGAACGCCCGCCCTTCGGCCCTAGTGATGAATCCCTAGTTCAGCCTCCAGAACTTTGCCTTCGGAGCATCACGTGGTCCACTCTCCCTGTCTAAAAGGACTATTGGTCCAAGTACGACACGGTGAAGCTGCAGCGGGCCCGCACCGGCTCCGGAGATGCCGAGGCTTGTGGTGTGTGTGCCGTAAGAGCAATAGAGATAATAGAGTAAGATAGAATCGATGATAATAGATGATAAGAAGATTAGATATACTGATATACTAGTAGTAATGCCAGGAGCTATTACTAGTAGCTTCTTGTTACCAGTAATGGCCTCCAACAGTAGCTTCTTGCTCCTGCTTTCTGTCAAATGGCCATCGCCCACCCGAACCAGACGCCATCGCCGGAGTCGCCGCGTGGCCGGGTGCGCCACAGGCGGGTTCGGGACGGGGACGGATGGGTCGGACTCTTGGTTCGGGCTTTTGACATGCTTTAAGTATGGGAGGCACGAACTGGGAGGCTTGGGAAAGAGTCCACTGGGAGGCTTGGGAGGTTTTGGAGTCCAACTGTGATTTGAGAAGTTCGGGGGTATGACTCACGAAGCCCAGAAGAACCCGTGGCAGAAAGCCTTCTAGAAACTTCCCAAAGCTCCAAGTGTTTCAGGGGCCCTGAGAAGAAGTTGAAGGTAGGAGATCACCACATCTACACCAGCAGTCACATGTCGGGGTTCCTATTGGAGGTGAGGGGGGCCCATTATCCACTCACTTAAGGACTAAACACCACCCCTTTGTTTGTGTCATTTCCGGCGAGTCACACGACCGTCGTCTCACCATACACACACCGCGGTCCAGGGGCGGGGTCGAAGTAAACACCGACCGGCGCGGCGCTGTGCTTGAGCCGTTGGGTCCCTGGGTTCAGGGACGGCGCGGCGCTCTGCCAGCGCTGTGAGGGATGGGGGCTTGGACCCCTCAGTGGCGCAGTGGCGAGTCCTTCGGCGAAGTCAGTGACGAGAGTCGAACTACAGAGGGGCTGGCTGTGGAAGAGCAGTCGCACGACTTTTCCACTTGCTCCCCCTCTTTCGCGGGCATTGGAAGCATTGGAACCCATGGTTTCGCGGGCGAACAAGAGGCTCCAGTGGCGAAAAAGAGGACCAACGGAGCTTTGCAGTGGCAAGAGACCGCTATGACGGGCAGTTCAGTGATTGGCACTGTTAGCTTGACATTGTCCGAGCCTGCGACGGGCCTGTGTTGAAACTGGACGCCCGCGTCACGGATCTTCTGCATCTGGGTGCAGAGATGCGTGATCATCTATAATCGCTACTTCCGTAGTTCTTCTTTTTGCGGAAGTGACGGAGGTTGTCACTTGGCTTGTGACAACGTTGAGCTGAGAGACCATGTTCAATCTGGATGTTTTTTCCCTCAAAATGGTCTCTCACTGCAACATGAATCAGTGCAACACCGGACCGTGATGCCACCTCCGAGGCGGAGCTTGTCCGTTTCCAGCTGCGACAGCGGAGAGGACGGGCAGTGGACTGGACCTTCCGCCGCCGCCTTCGTCCCATGGGAACTGTGGAGCGATGGCACAGTCCACCCAGTTGAAGTGGTTGAACAATGTATTCCCGTCCAAATGTGGTCCTTTGTCTGGGTTTGTGGCATCTACTCTGAACCTGCTAGGCATCTGATGCATTTGTCTCCATGATTTTCGGAAAAGTGAGTTGATTATATATATATATAAGTATATATATATATGATCCCCGATCCATGCACGCAAGTAGATGGAGGGAGCTAGAGGACTTTTTTTGAAAACAAATCAACGTGTTTGACTTTATACTGATCGATGCCACCAAGATCGAACACCAAGAAGGCCTTTCAAGACTTGTTGAACGAGATGAAACTCATCCAGACCAAGATCGAACAAGAACAGACTGAGCTCAACAACACCAGCACGGCCTACATGACCCTAGTCAGCAAACAGCCGGACCCCGTGCTTCTTGTTGAAGATGCTGAAATGAAGGATCCAGTTCCAGAAGCGGTAGCTGGTTTCATTAGCACTCTTGGTGTCAGTCTCACTCAAGAGCAGCAGGACCAGCTCAAATCGATGCTCAAAAGGCCCACAGCTCCCGCAGATGAAGATGCTAAGCGTCGCAAGCTTGCAGAAGCAGAGAAAACACAGTCATGTGGGTAACCTGACACTTGAGGCTTTGCAGCGAGATTTGATCCCAGCTTCGCATTTTACTATGGGGTTGACACCATGTACACACATGGACAGGGGCACAGGTCAGCAGAGTTGCAGGGGCACAGACAACTCTTTTGACCTCACCGATAATGACAGTTTGGGCTCAAGCTTCATCGCACGAGCCCCTACGGCATCCTATGGACCCTGGCGAGCTTTTGCCAAGGTCAAAGGGGGCAGCGGGCTAGTGCAGGAACCAGAGGCACCGAGCTCCTCTACGTCAGAGCCTGCCCCCAAGGGCAGAGCTGTGATCGGGACCTCAGGTTTCCTTGCGCTGGCCCGCATCCTCCAAGACATGGACAGTGGAATGGGGATGCCTGCTCATCTTCACTCTCAGCTCCTTCAAACAGGCCATCATGATCTTCATGCTTCCTGCCTTGAGTACCTCCGGGCGCCAACTCAGGACCATGGGCAACAACTCCTGGCAGACTTGCAAAGAATGGAGAGACTGGTGCACCATCATCAAGGCCTGCAAGGGGAGCCTCCCTTCATTCAAGCCAACTCAGGTTTGATTGTGCAGAATTTAACCAGTATTGCAGCCAACGACGGCAACCTCTGTTTCGTCAACTCGGCCTTCAGGTGTTGGAGTTGGTTGAGCAGCTTCACCACTGAACCCACTCAGACGTGGGGGAGACTGCATCGAGCCTTTCGGGCTTTTCTTTCTTCCTCCAAGCCCTGCTTCCTCACTCAAATCCATGAATTGGGGGATGTTTGGGCCCACTTTGATGACCAGCAACAAGCTGACGTTGGAGATTTTGTCGGACA